GTATCAATGCATGAATTTGAGGGGAACATAAACGTTCAGTGTCGAGGATCATATCAGATGTATTACAGATTCTGAGGATTAGGACATGGGAATGTCTTTTGGGGGCTACTGTTCAGCCCCCTACAACTGCCTTTGTGTAATTCTTAAAGTGCAGTATTGGAAGTCAGGGGAGATTATGGGATATGGGATATCCACTTCCAGGTCTTCAAAAATAATTATGTGCTGCTTCATATAATTTTTCCTAATTTGCTCATTACAAAAACATCTTCAGTTAGTTTGACCCTGATTATCAATTAGCATTCTCAGAGTCCTTTTAACTGTACCGCAAGTTTACATCTGAAAATAGGTTTTGTGTTGCTGACATTCTGTGGGCCATGCACCACTGATATCTCTCCCGTCTAGCTGTCAAAGCGAATCAGTCAGTAGGCTATAAAAGGTGGCCCACTTTGAAGAGTAAAGTAACCTCCCAGGATTAGATTCCAATTTTAATTCAATTACATGTTGGAAAAGAAAAGATTCGGTTCAGTTTAATTCCTGTTATAAAATTGGGTGAATTGTCCCCTAAATTTAAACATTGTACATTACTGTATCCTTGGTATAAGAAAGATGGAAGGGGGAGCAAAAAGACCAAGTCCATTATTCTGTAAGGAACATATTAATTCCTGTAGGTGGAAACATAGTTCACCTTAAAGGTAGGAAGTGAAGACAACGCATGCTTTATCCGCAGGCTAGCTAGAAGAATTTAGAGTGAAGTCTCCTAGCATCTGTTGATTTAATTTGGGGCTTAGTTTGCTAAATACATTATTTCTGGACTACTTTGAAACAAACTTCTGGATGGCGTAGACTGTTGCTAAGGGTTCATAAAATTGATGCAGCCTGGGTGAGATTTAGGAAATTGAAGAACTATTATTCACAAAGTAAATAAAGGAGCATTCTGATGTTCTGTACAACTGAGTGAGAAAGGGCCTTGAGTAGAACACTAGAGGCTGACCATGGACTGTCACTAATAGTTCCTTTGCTTCTCTGTCCTATGTGTTCTTCTCCATGGATTAATCAACTGGTGTTGATTCCTAGAAGGGAGGGCACAGTTCTTGGGCTTCAGCACATCCTACCACATAAGTTTTTTAAAAACATTTGAAATAGCCAAGGGTTTTCAGCAGTCATTGTCACCTTTCTGTTAACGATGGTGACATACTGTAGTCAGTGTACTCAAAAACATTGTAGAAAGGACATGTAAATAAGCTGGACTGTGAATTTTCTGAAGACTTTGAAGGATAATTGGCCTTTAGTAGCCCACAGAATAAGTATTTGAATACTTGACAAGACAGACAAGAATTGAGATTTGGAAGTTCACCATAGAAATATACTGTTGCAAATATACTATATATACAAATACACTCCTTCAGTGTATTTGTAAACAGAAAGAGCAGCCTCCAAGTTGGTATGTTAAAGTGGAATCAGTAACAATGTGTCTTACAAAAATATACTAGTCAAGGGATCAGTGTGATCACTTACAGGACATTGCA